ACAGCTTTAGGGGCCTGGCCGAGCCCCTACCGGGGGTTCCAGGGCGGAGCCCCAGGATGCTCTCGAGTTTATTTGACTTTCAAGAGAAAGTGTCTCTAAGATATAAAGAGAAGTTATTTCTTCAATGAAGTGAAAGGTCTCATGAAAATAAAATGGCCCTTTCATTTCATTTTAGAAATAAACTCTAATCCATCCTTTGATATTTAAATTGCACTGCTCCTACTTCGTGCTTTGTTCACACTCTCCCTGATCTATAAAGAGTGCTTTCTCTATTTGATCATAAACAGAAGCAAAATGCTAGGCCACGAACCTTTCGAAGCGTGACCAGATTCAAAGTATGCTTAAATGGGGGCATTGATGTATGTAGAAAAAAAGGATTAAGATCCCATGCAACGCTTCGAAATTTAAAAGAAGAATAAGAAAAATAAAGTTGAGATTCAACCTTTATGTCTAGACGTTGCATAATGCAATTCGTTTTGGTATTTTATTCCATCTCAGAGGGATTATAGAAGTTATTTTTTAAGGATAATAAAGATAAAGCTGTCCGGGTTTTTAAAGATAATGCGTCAAAACAAATCGAACAACCTGTTTATTTCTTTATTCATGGTTTGTTTCTACTGTTTATCTATTTTCCTTGCCAATCATCGAAAACGAATTTAATATGCATTTCACAGAGGAAAGTTTGCATATTGATGAAACATATGGGCGCAGGCCAAGATTTAAACCCACTCAAGTGTGAATTTGGCGCATCTTCCTTCATCTTCTTCAACCAGGAAATGGACTTCATTGTAGCCTTAGGACAGGATGGTGAAATAAAATTGATAAAAGAACATCATAATCAGATTATCCGACCCCGGAAACCCCATGAATTCATCAACTTTTATCATACTGGTCCTTTTCCTTTTGAAACTACGCTTGACCTTTAACTCGGATGGCGGCCATTTTTAATTTGGCCAATATGGAGACCTGCAATTGATACAAGCAACATCATAATCAGATTCTCTGACCCAGAAAACCCCCTTACTATATATATATTTTTTTTAAATCATTTTAGCTTTTTTCCTTTTGGAACTACTATTGATCAGTAAATATCATATGGCGGCCATTTTGGATTTGACCAATATGACCCCCGGATATGACCAGTATGGCAGCCCCAAGGAGATCTCAAATTGATGAAAGAATATCATAATCAGATTCTCTGACCCCCAAAACTCCATAGATATATAACCTATTATTACCCGTATCAGACATCTGAGCTGGTCATTTACAAAACCGTATTGCCCTAGTTTTCACTAGCAGTGGGAACGGAGGGGTATATTCTTTGTATTTTCCTTGGTCTCCCTGCGCGTATTGACTTTGCGTGTAGAGAGACGAGTGAAAATATACCTAAGGTATTTTCCACGGTCTCGCATCCGGGCATCTTGTATTGACCGCGTCGCATTTTCATTCCGCATATATTATGCGAACGAGAACCTGCGCACTTTGCGCACACTCTATTGTGACGTAATAATCACACCAAATACACACTGTTTGCAGTGTATCGAAAATTTTGTCAAGCACTGGATGCACAGTGTTGGTTTGACAAAGTTTGTTCAGTTCTTGAGATTGTCATGGTGGATTTCTGTATTTGCTCTAGATGTCTGATTTGGATAACAATAAAAATATTGACTGGCTTTACTTTTGGGGGATATCAGAAATATTGACCACGCTAAGACCATATTGCCCTCGTCTTTCGACTCGGGGCAATATGATCTAAGCTTGGTCAATATTTCTGATATACCCCTCAAGGCCAGTCAATATTATATAATTATTACCTATACAAGGCATTTTAGCTGCTAAATATAAAGTCGTATTTTGCACGCTGCTCCGAATATGAAACCGGAGCGGTGAATATTTGCCATATTGCCCTCTTCCGGGTTTGCCCCGTAGACCACTGTACTAAATCAGAGGGCAATATTGAGCCATATTCCACTCTGTCTTGTCAGTGCGCTTTACGTGCAGTATTGTGTAGGCGTTAAAGTGTACGCGCGGTAACAATCATTGTTACGTCACAATTACACACAATAACAATCATTGTTACATCACAATAACATACCTGCCTGAATAACCTGAAATTAGATGGACCGGCAAACGGACGGGGGTAAAAATCAAGATTGATACCAAAGTTGTATAGTCACAATTACACACAATAACAATCATTGTTACATCACAATAACATACCTGCCTGAATAACCTGAAATTAGATGGACCGGCAAACGGACGGGGGTAAAAATCAAGATTGATACCAAAGTTGTATAGGCCCCTATCATTAATTAGCTTTAAAATGCCTTGTTTAGGTAATAATAATTATATTGACAGGGCTTCTTTCGGGGTACATCAGAAATATTGACCGCGCTAAGACCATATTGCCCTCGTCTTTGACTCGGGCAATATGATCTTAGCTTGGTCAATATATCTGATATACCCCTCAAGCCCAGTCAATATAATATCATTATCATACAACCGCTTTTCCTTTTGGAACTACGCTTGACCTTTAACTCAGATGGCGGCCATTTTGGATTTGCCCAATATGGCATACCCAGAGGGTGCCCTTCTTGGCGTCCGGAAGAAATCGTATGAGTATGGTATAATCTACCTCTGGGCCAAATTTGGTGCTTTTAGAAGAATCTGCACCAAACAACCCTTATTTAGCCCTAACAGCCTCCACTATATTGACTATGTCACCTTGGCTTTAACCGGGTTCTACCAGCTCTGCTCCTCGCTTTATATTGTTTTGTGCGCTTGTTATCTGATTTGTAGTGCTTGAGTGCTGCGTGTGCGGTTTGTGTCTTCGTCTTTGGGGGTGTGTTAGTGGGTCCTTGAGTGTGTGTTTTTTGTTTGTTAGTGTTTTGCGAAGTTTGCATAATCCCCTTTTTGTATAGCTTTCAGCAATCGGATCTAGTTATAGTTATAGGGGGGATCGGGGGGTCGTTTAATGATTTTTTTTTTTTGAAGGGGAAGGGGCCCACCTCCTGGACATGTGTGCCCATCGCCACGAGAATGCCCACTGCCACTCATCACTTTTTAAACTTTTAACATTTACTATTGGTTTGTAACGTGCATTTTGCAATTTTGTTTGTATGTATCTATTTTCAATAATTTATTTTGTATATCTTTAAATGTAACAAATGTGTAATTCAGCCTTTGGCTGCTAATCATTTGACGAATAAACTCTTTTTGAATTGAATTGAATTGAATTGAATTGATCCTAATTTCAACAATCCTACGTTACCAGACTGTCTCTGCCAAACTGTGGCCCATTCAACAACCAAAATTTTCCCAAATTTCTTGATATTCTCTTCATGCCTGGAGCGGCGGTGTCACTGAATTCAATTAATGTGTCATTTGTAGGGTCTCCTAGCTTTTCTTTGTCTTTTCCCATTCTCCTGTGATATAAAGGCTTTGTTGTCAAAGTAACGAATCCTTATAAAACTCTAGTTAGAAGTTCATCGAGATTTACTAGATTTCAGATTTATTCAATTTGAACCTATACAAGTTCACGTAACCTTTTATATTCTTTCCAGTCACACCATGTGAGCGCGTATTGTATACAAATATACACTGTCTTGAATTCTGGTTAAAACTATGCGCAAGAGGTGACGGACGCAGCCCCGAAGCAAATGGAACTTCTGGAGTCACCGAGGCCTAAAGTTTTAACCAGTTCCTCGAATAGAGGCACGGTATATTTGTTTTATATCCTGCATCAAAACAAATTTTATTAAAAAATAAAAAAATAAAAAAATTTAGAACCCCAAAATGTCAATTTTTATCTAAAAAGATTTTAAATATTTTGTTTTCATTAAATTAAGATTAAAACAAAAAATTCAATTCCCCCCCCCCCGAAAAAAAAAACTTTTTTTTTAAAACTCCCAAATAGTAAACCCAAATAGTACTCTCATATAGTACTATCTAAAAATAGCTCAAATATTTGTGGTCATGTGACGAGCTCTTAACAAATCAAAAGCCTTTTTGATGCAGGATATAATAACTGTTATTCGAAGGCCCGAATCTGTTTGGTATTGTAATTCATCCATGGATAACTCTTTTGTCGCACTCCAGATAATTGAATTCCAGATAATGGAATTCCGGATAATGGGGCCAATTGAAGGTAACGAACTGATTTTGAAAGTATGTTTTCCAGAGTTGGAATTCGGCTGACTGTCGAGTACAGGTGAGCATGGACATTTTCATTTAAACAAAACATTTGAATAAGATAAGGAGAGAGACGTTTAGCAAAAAGCTTGTGCATCAAAGAAGCATTCGATAATTTGTTAGAATCATACACATTCATTAGGGACTTTTAGATTTGCACTTCGACATAGTGGCCTACTACGTGTGACGTCACAGTGAAATCACAGTGCCTTAAAAGGACGTCACACGTAGCAGTCCACTATGTCGACGTGCAAATCTAAAAGTCCCTAACGTTGAAAAACGGTGGAATAAAGGTAAAGAAGGGGCTAGATAATGAGCATTGGCAAAAATTCGAAGTGCTCTTTTTTGAAGTATGAAGCCCATATTACATTGCAATACATAATATGAGGTAGGATAAAAAGTATTGTACATGGTAAATAGCAGTTTAGGTGGTAACATACATTTCACATTAATCATTATCCCAATACTTTTCGATATTTTACTACTACAATGTGAGAGTCCCTTTTCAAAAAATCATCTAACTGTTCGCCTTGGTATGTAAAAGTACCGCGATGCGATTAGAATTCTTTACATCCCTATAGGAGCCAAGAATCATATTTTCAAAACAAAACGTTGATCGTTATTTCTTATTTCAATATATGTTACGCCAATTCGATAAATTATACATACACTCTATTAAAAAAAAAAAAGAATGGTGAAAACATACTATTCCAAGTAAAGAGGAGAAATGAAAAATTCATCAGTCATTAAATATATAACCTATAAAACAACCTTCACAAGTAGAGAGAAAAAACAAGGAAACATCTTACCTAATCCGACTGCTGCGCCGTGACACATTCCAATCCCAAATCCAAGGATGGACACACCGGTGCCAAAGTCCTCTGTGAGGTCGGAAATGAGAACGCCGAACGACTTGGCCGTACCGGTGTTGAAGAAGTTAACGATGGCGGCACCTACGACGATCATATACTTCCATCGTCCTTGCGATTCTCCTGGGCGAAATACTTTCATGTTGGATGCGGTGTTCGAGAAGCACCTCTGGGGAGAAAGACACGCACGCCATGAAATACCCCAGATTCTGGTCGCTTTGACTATTTTACCTTGAGTGCGTAAGCGCGCGCGCTCACCCAACGATTTCCGCTACATATGAATTATAGTGCAGCGGCTTAGCAAGAAAATTGTGCACTTTTTGAGAAAAGCATGAAACTTCCAGCCAGGATGAAACGCCAGTCCGCATGGGCTAATGTACAAACGCGGTAACTTTTGAACCAAATAGTCCAGAAAAACGTTTAAGGTGTCATTTCCAACTAAATTGGGGATGCCAATTCATGTGGTAATACTTTCGAGATCGCCAGAACTCAGGGTGTTGCATTTAGGTCAAGGTCAAGGTCAAAATTGACTAAAAATAGCAAGTTTTGAATGGTTGCAAAAGGTTAAATCCCCATTATATGTCATTTGTTCTCCCCTATGTTCTTAAATTTATTAAGGAATGGTTCCCCTGCCGAGTCCTCCACCTTAATCCTTTTCAGTTAGTTTATTTCACAGTTTGATGGGACCTCTGATGACCCTGAGAGGTCAAATCCAAAATGGCAGCCAGTCCGCATGGTCTAATGTACAAACGTGAACTTGAACCAAATAGTCTAGAAAAACGTTTAAGGTGTTATTTCTAACTAACTTGGGGATGCCAATTCATTACGTAATACTAAGAGATCGCCATAACTCAGGGATATTCAATAAGGTCAAGTTCAAGGTCATATTAGGTCAAAAAAGTGATGTTTTCTTTTTTTAAAAATAAACTTTGCCTCTATTTTGACACTTAAAGGTAAAGACCAGTTATGGTCATACGATTGCATTGTGAAAGAAACGTTGTGGAATCGATCAGAAAAGGTTGATCATCTAGCATCTAGCATCTGCAAGGTTCTGGAATCATCAAAATGTTAAGAAATTTGGCCCATTCTTCGTAAAGTTACAAGCACTATACACAGACAGATGTATATGGGACTACCCTATATCTCTCACAGACCATGAGAGAAACAAATTTACCAAATATATGAATTAGTAGGCGGTTTCCCAGCAAATTTTTTATTATCATGTATTAGTTAAAACATATTCTTTCACATGATTGGTAATGAGAGCTTCCATTTCATTTTTTGAAATTGGGGCGTTTCCAATACTGGTCTTTACCTTTAAGGGGTCATTATTTTATAAATTAATAAAAAGACCCGTGTACCACCACTTTGACTATCCAGGGACAATTGTATATAGCTGCTCATCGGCTGGTTCTGTTCTTACGTATGAGTTTCTACTTCATAGCACTGCTAACCGTAAGCACACGAAAGTGGATTAACCTTACGCTGCTTACTGGACGAAAATGAATTTTGTAACAATGCACATTCATTGTGAACGCACAAGGTGGACGCCTTGTTTTCTTGCTAACCAAATTTGTCTGCTACAGTTATAGCACGAAAATTTGCAAAAAAGCTATTCCAAATACGACCTAAAACCTGTTCATTACCACAGCTATAGATATCCACATGTATTTAGCACTGTCTACAACTTATGAATATCCTAATGGTAACGATCAAAATCTAACAGTCTCCAGAACAAGAGCACAATATTCAGTGCATCCTTTCTTGCAGCGACAGTGGATTATTCATGGCACAATTTTGATGCTTCCGGGAGAGTGGTCCAAAGAGGCTGCCACCCAGTTTCGTTTGTCCAGCCTAAGTCAGATGGCTCTGGCATCTCTGGATTCTTGGCCAATATCTGGTTCCAACAGATGGCCTGGTAGCAAGTGCGCTTGAAGTGCTGCTTGAGTGCTGCCTGGGTTGGAGGAATGTTCTCCAGGTTTCTAGACTTCTGTGCGAAGAGCTGTTTCCTGGCATCATTCACTAGGTATGCTCTCACTGGTTCGGTCGTATCAGCACCACAAATCGCTCTGGCAGTAACATTGATCCTTCACTGACCGCCCTAGGCATGTACAGGAGTTCACTGAAGGAATCATTCACCTCTGGGAAAGACTTCTAAGTTTTTCCTCTGAATGCAGAAACAGTGTGACACCCGGTGAACGCATGAAAGATTGGGAGAGGCATACATCGTGTCGGACTCATGGTGGCGACCATCATGATTTTGTGAAAAGCTATGTACCAAAAGCTTGATCTGACACCAAAAGCGATCCAGCATCAGGAGCTGTCTTGCTGAATGAAGCCACGGCCAGTTCAACCGCATCAATATCAACAGTACTTATGGTTACCCTTTTACACCCATGGGGCAAGGCCTGCCAAATGTGACTCAGCAGGAGAGCAGAGTACTCCACTTCCATCTGTTGCATATTATACAGTTCCTTGCCCTGTCGTAGAGGAAGATGAACGACTTCGCATGACATGAAATCAAACAATTCGGTTTTGTTCTCATTGACTCGAAGGAAGTCCTTCAAGCTTTTTTGGCAGCAAAGTAGAAGGAGCCACCCTTTTCCTGGTGCCATTTCCCCTTTCCTGCTTTATTGAGGCTTTCAGGCTAGCAGGTAAGTATACACCCAAGTCAAGGTCGATGCGGATGCTTTTCTCGAGTTGAGCAAAGATGTATGGGACAAACCATGAACCTAATACAAAAAGTGTTCTTGATGTTCCAGGATTGGGCATTTGAACCACAGCTTCACCATCAATAATTATTGCTTGGGCCACAGGTGCACTATTGTTTTCGAGCAGATTTGATTCCAGGCAGCGAAGTAGATCTGCTTGAACTCCAAATCGCATTTTCCTCCAGTTAACATGCAAAGTTGGCGGGGCTGCCTGGTTTTCATGAGAGAAGATATCTCCATCCCTTGTCTGACACGAGATGTACATCCTCAAAAAGAGACCACGTACAGTCACTATTAGGTGCTGCAAGCTGTGCCTTCTGTTTTAACATAACCTTTGCCGGCTGCCGACTGAAAAATGGCAACTTGTTCGAATGAAGTGTTTGTGTGACAGGTGTCGTACACTGCTCTAGCCTTTCTGTCACAAACTTTGTGTACTGCTCCTCACAGTGGCGGATCCAGGGGGGGGGGGGGGCCCGGGGGCCCGGCCCCCCCCCTTGAGAAAAAAATCATGTAAAATCACGTGATTTTTACGATTTTTGGGGGTTGGGCCCCCCCTGGCGCTCAAGGGGGGGGGGGGGGGGTGCAAATTGAAATTTTTTTGAGGATCAAAAAAAAAAATGCTCTGTACCCCCCCCCCCCCCCCCCCCCCCACTGAGCGACTTTTCGGCCGGCGCGATTTTCAAATTTTCGGGAGCAAAAAAAAAAAAAGTTGGGCCCCCTCCCCTAAGAAATCCTGGATCCGCGCCTGGCTCCTCACCTAGGGTCTCAATCCTTCTCCCCGTTTCAGCCAATTGGGTGTCCATGATATGTCGCTTGTGCCAATGACTAGTAGGTCTTGACTTTGTTCTAGAAATGGATTCCCCATCTCTTTCAGTACGGTCAGAAGTTCCCATCCTCAAGAATGCTAACTGCACTCCATGTTGCTGGTCATGGTGATGTTGTCTAGTGTTAGCAGAACCGTTATTTTGCTTTATGGCCTGTTCCTCAAACTCTGTAGTGATCCTTTAAATTACTTAGAACCAAATAAAACACAAAGTAACTTAAAGAACATCTTACCAGTATTACTGAGCAGTAATGGAAAGGAGCAGTTTTCCTGCCTTGAATTGAGATTTTTTCCGTATACTGCCTAGCTGCCAGGGCTCAAATTAATTGTTTGTCTACGGGGGCTCCCCCCCCCCCCGTGAGCCTTCTCACGGGGGCTCTTTTATTACTGACGGGGGCTCTTTTTTATACAAATATCCATTAAATTGGTACCTATGATACTCCTCAATTATTATTATTATTATTATTATCATTTCAATCAGCATTTTCCCTCTTACAAATTTACAAGCTACATAGCTGTTACTGGCCTGTGTATATAATATATACGCATACAACACTGATCTTTATGATGTCTTTAACGTGACATATCTTCTTCTCCCCTTGCAAACAAAAAAGAAAACAAGGTCATTAAAAGGGATTAAGCGACAAATAATGATTGTGATTCAAATTGATGGGAATATTTGTTTGAATAAGCACTGCTATTCACCCGAATCTTCTTTGTAAAAACAACTTTTACAAATCTCAGCCATGCTTACTGAGTTGAGACGTTCCATTCAATTTAAAATACCCATTACATAATACACTTCTCCTTATCTCAAAGTGATCTTACAGCACAGTGGCAGAATTGCATGGCTGAGATTTGTAAAAGTCGTTTTTACAAAGAAGATTCTGGTGAATCCTCTTCTCCTCAAAAGGGACTTTTAGATTTGCGTGGACGTGGACGTGTTACGTCCTTTTAAGGCACTGGCAGTCACATGTGACGTCCTTTAAAGCACTGGCAGTGCCTTAAAAGGAGGTCACACGTTGCAGTCCACGTTCTCATCGTGCAATTCTAAAAGTCCCTAATATTGATTTACTGGTCGAGGTTCATTATTTGCTGACAACGAAAAACTTCTCCAGGCCATGACCATGTTTCTGCCCTTGCGCGATCGCCTCCAGCTCCAGCAGACATGGCGCGGCAGCGTGCACACGCACCGCTACTAAAGGCGCAGTAGGCCTATAACCACTGCTGACGGCGGCACTGCACTGCGAGCCGAATCGGTGATAATAGGCCTACTCATAAAACGAGAAATCTTGCACGCTAATCTTAGTTCCATTTCATTGGTTTAAGGTTTAAAAATTGAAACTCAATATTGTGTTAAAGTTATAACAGAAAAGATAATCTTTATTTTATAATTCCACCGGGGCGATTTTTAATTTTGCAATCGCCCCCGTGAGCAACCTGACGGGGGCGATTATGTAGCTCACGGGGGCGAATCGCCCACCGCCCCCGTGTATTTTGAGCGCTGCTAGCTGCTCACTGACCATGCTATATGTTAATGGTCAGTTACAAGACAAATAATGGTTTGGTGCTATAATTAGTGAAATAAACTAACTGATTACGATGGAGACTATGCAGGGGAACCACTCCTAAAGAAATTTGAGAACATAAGGGGACAAACAAATGGAAAACTTTTTGTAAACATTAAAAAATTGCTATTTTTTAGTCAATTTTGACCTTGACCTTGACTTAATGCAAAAGCCCTGAGTTCTGGCGTACTAAAAAGTATTACCAATTGAATTGGCATCCCAAAGTTAGTGGGAAATGACACCTTAAACGTTTTGCTGGGCTATTTGGTTCAAGAGTTAAGCGTGTTTGTACGATAATGCTGCGGACTGGCGCCATTTCCTATTTGACCTCTCAGGGTCATCAGAGGTCAAATCAAAATGTGAAATAAACTCACTCAAAGGGATTAAGGTGCGTAAATTCCTAAAGAAATTTGAGAACATAGGAAAGAATGAATGACAAATAAATGGGAAAACATTTTGTAACCATTCAAAACTTGCTTTTTTTTAGTCAATTTTGACCATGACCTCGACCTAAATGCAAAACCCTAAGTTCAAGCGATCTCAAAAGTATTACCAAATGAATTGGCATCCCCAAGTTAGTTGGAAATGACACCTTAAACGTTTTTCTGGACTATTTGGTTCAAAAGTTAAGTGTGTTTGTACATTAGACCATAAGGAATAGCGGCCATTTTGGATTTGACCTCTCAGGGTCATCAGAGGTCAAATCTGACTTCCCTCCACATCTGAAAATGAATCTTATGGTCTAAACTAACTATGCTAGAAATTCCATGCTTTTCTCAAAAAGTGCACAATTTTCATTATATTGGGAGCTTATCCGCTGTACTATTACAAATAATTTTCATTTGACGTGTAGATCTTTTATGAAGTATTAGACATGATGGGGCCTAGGTAGTCTGCAGACACAGACCCTAATTTGACACTTTACACAATTGCTAAAGTTAAGCATTGAGCAGAGCCTAGCCTTTTCAGCCTCAGGTTGTGTCTGGATCGCGACTTTTTTAAACCTAGACAGGAGTGGAAATTTTTCACCTGTTTCCCTTTTAAATAATAAAAAATTGTTTCAAATTATCTGTAATCGTTTTAATTTGTTCCTCGCCCCAAGCAGATTTGGTTGATCCTGGCAAATGTATAGACTAATGTCTTTGCAAAGGGCAGAGATTCGAATTCAAGAGTCAGGTGAATGACCTCTATACTACTACTCAACCAATTCAGATATTAGGGGGGTGTTTCACAAAGACTAAGATTGACTTTAAGTTGGATCTTAACTATGGAAGGCCATGCTTGCCACTGGTTGCTCTCACCATTGGTCTCTCAATTATGATCTTTAGATATTAATTGTGCCTTCAATAATGGACTATCAAAAAAGGTAAATGCTGTAGATTCGTGACCACGATTTGTACGTTCCTTGAGAAACCAGTGCCAGGAATGGTTAGAGATAATAGTGGCATGGAAGGCCTGCCATATTTATGTTCAACTTAAAGTCGATCTTAGTCTTTGTGAAACACCCTAAGCCTCGTATTCTGAGACAGCATGCATACATTTTGTAAATTATTGTTAGATTTAACAAGCTCAAGTTTAGGTAAATAACGGGTTTTATTAAGATAAAGACTTTCCTGCCACGTCACATGGAATCATGTCTACATTACAATGATTAATTATGACACAATTCCTCACATAAACATGTACATCATTTTCAAACGATGATAAATTAATTTGTGTATGTATTTTTATGGCATCATAAAGGTTACTAGGTACTTTATTTTTGATGAAACATAAATATTAGTACCATCCTTTAAAAAGGTGAACTTTATAGTAAAGGGCAAATGAAGCAGACAACTACAATTGGCAATGATCAATTATGTAAAAAATATTCATTGGTTAACCAAACTAAACACTTGAAACAAAATCGAAAGGTAGGCTGATAATAATAAAAACAATGAAAAGGAACATTTTAAATGAACGTTCCCTTATTATTGATATACTAGTTTTTCAACTATAAGTAATAGGGGCTGCAATCTACAAGCCTAGCTTTTCAGCAGTCCCCTCCCCGGTCCCCTCCATGACCAACCTATTTCATATGTCTGTTGTACACTGGGGACTTTTAATTTTACTATGCACAATGCAATCGCATGTATTTTATTTTATTTTTTTGGAAATGGAAATAAACGAAATGAAATGAATGGGAACGCGGTGGGGTTAAATGTCCTTTAGTTATTTGTTCCCCTCCAGTTGATAGTGTAGCTACAAAGGCATAGCTAATATCTCAGTCAAAGTTGTGGTAGGGTTGATGGTCACGCTGACGACCAAACTCCAAAGTGACCGTTTTTTTGACATCGCCACTACTAAAATAATGTAAGATAGGCATGTGCCTCAAATCGAACGAAGGAAAGGAAAGGAAGAGAGAGAGAGAGAGAGAGAGAGGGGGGGGGGGGGGGGGGGGGGTCAACGGAGGGAGGGAAGGAGAGGTAGACAGAGAGAGAGAGAGAGAGACAGACAGACAGAGAGAGGGGGCGGTAGTGATAGACACATTAGGAACAAAAGGAAAAGCTCAACGTAGAAAACGTTCATATAGCTCCGTTTAGTCTCATTTCACAACGCCCCCTATCGTCAGAGCATGGTCAGGGTCAGCAGCCTAACATGTTAGCCTATGGACGTTTTTTAAAAAAATCGTTAAAAATTCATTTTTTGTTTAAACGAAAAGCACATCCACCCCGACGTACGTTATCACTAGCTCTTTCATTGGAGCCCTCATGTCTCATTGACTTTTGAAAGTTCACCCACCGTAATTTTTCAAAATAGGTTGCAAGCTCGTCATTGCCTATAATACACATGTAAAACAAGTCTAACTTTTGACTCAGTTTGCCAAGCGAATTGAAGATTATAGGTCGAGCACACCAAACATAAAAAGCATGAATTATCATAGATCCCTTCTGCCTATTTGATTATGTCCATTTCATCCAACCCCCCACCGCAATTTTTCAATTTAGTAAAAGCAAACATTTAGCCGAGGTAAGCAAAAACATGAATATTCATGAACGGTCAGACAATACAGCCTTTTAGTACGTAACGTATAATAAATGGGAATGGGCGATGATCCGTACAGGAGGTAGAGGTCAGTGGTTTGTGCTGGCAATGTTCACGCGAGCGAAAATGAGACAATCGGAGCAATATGCAAAAGTTCAAATGGCATAACAGAAACAAACAATGCTTATTTACATCTAAAGTCAACTGGATATTATTTACACCTACGCATCTCAAATTATGGCAAGCATGAAATAGACAAGGTCATAATGCAAATCATACTTATAGCTACAGTGGGTTACTATTTGATCAGTTCAGTGGCGTACGCAGGATTTTTTCAAGGGGGGGGGGGGGGGTTAAAATCGGGCCCAAAATTTCGCAACGACTCAGCCAGCCGCTGAATAAGCGAGGGGGGGGGGGGGGGGGGGGTAAGCGGACACTTTTTTTTGTCTCGAAATTTGAAAATTTGACATTTTGTTCTGTTGGGGGGGGGGTAAGGTCACCTATTTTAGGTCAGCCATTGGCATAATTTTTAAAAAAAAATCAAAAGGGGGTGGTTTTCCCCAAAAACGTACACAAACATACACATAAACAAAACTCAAGGGGGTGTTTAACCCCAACCCCCCCCCCCCTGTTTACGTGCCTGGATCAGTTAGTAAAGTACGTAAATCATTTTATGAATTGAATGTAACTTGTATTTCTCGATACATTGTATCGGAGTACAATTACAACACTGACACCGGAAAAAAGTAATTCTGATGTTTGCACACTTCGCTTGTCAAAGCTCCAGCTGCGTTTGAATTAATTGTATATAATATGTAAAAAAAAGCTCAACGTAGAAAACGTTCAAAAGTTCAAATGGCATAACAGAAACAAAAAAATACTTATTTACATCTAAAGTCAACTGGATGTTATTTACACCTACGCATCTCAAATTATGGCAAGCATGAACTAAACAAGGTCATTATGGTAAGCATACACACAGACACAGTAAAGCTTCTAAATGGATGACTATTTGATTAGTAAGTAGGGTAGGTAAATCATTTCACGAATTGAATTTAACTTCTATTTCTTGATACATTGTATCGGAGTACACAGTAAAAACGCTGCTTAAAAAGTGATGTTCACTTACAGTTGTACACTATCTTAAACAACAGTTGAACAAATTGTAAACAATGTTGCCCGAAACGAAAGTAATTTTGTTAAACATTCGCTGGTTAAAATTTAATGACTGCTATATTTACTATACGAGAGCTTTTAGACAGTGTTGTTTACATATGACGTCATGTGTCACGTGCCAGTAAACGGCGTTGGCTAAAAGCTTTATTTCATATCATGGCCGACCAAGCTACCGACGCGCTTCTAAGTGACTTGGGATTCAATGGCTTAATTGAAATCACTTTTCTATTAACCAATTTAAAGTTTTTAACTTATAGCGTATTAAGTTCACAGTTAAAATTTTCAGTATCTGTACGCAAAAGTCAGAATATAGGTAGACTTAAAATCGTCGCGTCATGCAGTGCGACACTGGTTGCGCACTCTGTTCCTTGCCATAGAGATCGCATGCATCCCTATATACGTGCGTGCATGCGCGCTCAGAATGCAAAATGGGCACTGTTTTGGCGCTAATTCATGAATTGCAGAATTACCCTACCATATTGTTAGTCTTCATATACCTTCATATAGAAACCCAGAAATAGTGGTGCACTTATTCAGAGTATCAAACCCAAATTATACCCCATTATACAACCCTTTTGTTGTAAACAACCCCCACTGAACAACAGCTCCTTTTTAAGCAACTTTCTTTAAACAACTCAGTTGGTGTAAACAACCCCCACTGAACAACAGCTCCTTTTTAAACAACTTTCTTTAAACAACCCAGTTGGTGTAAACATCCCCCACTGAACAACAGCTCCTTTTTAAACAACCGTCTTTAAACAATACCGGTTGTTTAAATTGTGATTTTAAACAAGTTGTTCAAAATGTTGATCAACTAAGTGTTTAAACTTTAAACAACTCGAGATGCTTAACATTTTAAACAACTCTCAGATCAGGTCACCCGTAAATCCGAGGTTGTTTAAACTTTTAAACAACTGGTTCACAAAAATTTTAACTGTGTACAACTACAACACTGACACCGGAAAATAGTAATTTTGATGTTTGTACAGTTCGCTTATCAAAACTCCAGCTGCGTTTAAATTAATTGTAAATAAATATCTAAACAAATTGTAGGTAAGACCAAACATAAATCAGGTGCACAATCACAATCCCAGGACATAACTTGAGAACAGATGTCGATCTATACGTGTATATCAGTTGCAGTTCAGTTATCTTTTATCTTATTTTAAAATATATCACAATTTACTTTTATAATCGCTTATCAAAACTCCAGCTGCGTTTAAATTAATTGTAAATAAATATCTAAACAAATTGTCGGTAAGACCAAACATAAATCAGGTGCACAATCACAATCCCAGGACATAACTTGAGAACAGATGTCGATCTATACGTGTATATCAGTTGCAGTTCAGTTATCTTTTATCTTATTTTAAAATATATCACAATTTACTTGTATAATCGCTTATCAAAACTCCAGCTGCGTTTAAATTAATTGTAAATAAATATCTAAACAAATTGTCGGTAAGACCAAACATAAATCAGGTGCACAATCACAATCCCAGGACATAACTTGAGAACAGATGTCGATCTATACGTGTATATCAGCTGCAGTTCAGTTTCAGTTTTTCAGTTTTTCAGCACACGTATCAATAACATTAACGGAACGGAGATGATATTATATTTGTCCTTTTAAAAGCAGCATAAGTATATTAAATAATAATCAAAATCAATATCAGCTGGTCTTAGCTGCATTCGCTAAAAGATAGGCTTTTGTAGAAATAGCTACTATACCATTACAATCAAACAAAGACATAATTAAAACTGAATAAAAATGGAGAATACATATTTAGTAAAAGACCGAACTTTCCCCGAGATTATAAAAGTAAATTGTGATACATTATAAAAGTAAATTGTGATATATTATAAAATAAGATAAAAGATAATTATGTATTGAAGCATTTAAACTAAATTTCATTTAGTTGCACTCAAACTGTCCATGTTAAACCCATTGTCCACTGATAAAGCTGATACAAATGATTATAGATAGGCTTGACTTACATACCCACGTCATGAGTCTCTATGTGAAAATTTCAATTCCTCACTCTGTTACACAGTGTGAGACTATGTGAAGACACTATTCCATATTGTGGAAAAAAAAGAAAAAAAGGTTTGAGACTCTGTATGAAAACGCCATTACATTCTGTGTTTACCATTTTTACATCCATGATTGAAATATATTTTGATACAAAGTTCCAAAGTGTGGAATATCGTTTTTACATAGAGTCTCACAAACTGTTCCATAGTGGGGAATATCACAGTCGTCCCATTCTGTATTACATAGTACAGAATACTGTATACTGTAATACTGGGTTACATAGAGTGCTATAGTGTTCTCACATTGACTCCTACAATAATTACACAGCATGGCATATATTTTTCTTCATACATAGTTCCACACTGTGTGACACAGTGTGGGATGGTGTTCACACATGGAGTCTCACCCAAGTTATGCAGTATGGAAGAGTGTTTTTGAATAGTCCCACACTGTGTTACATAGAGTGGTATTTCCCCCAAAGACTCTCACCATACATAACACAGTGTGGGATAGTGTGTTCACATAGAAATAGTGTTTTCACATAAAGTTCCATACTGTGACTGTGATTGTCACACAGTATGGAATAGTTTGTTCTCCATATAGAGTCCCACACTGGTACACAGTGTGGGACGGTGTTTTCACATGTAATCTCACACAAGTTACACAGTATAGAAAAGTGTTTTCAAATATTCCCACACTGTGTTATATAGTGTGGTATAGCTTTTTAACAAAGACTCTCAGAATATATTACACAGTGTGGGATAGTGTGTTCACATAGAGTATGAGTGTTTTTACATAAAGTTTTATACTGTAATTGTTACACAGTAGGGCACATATTTTTTCTTCATAAAGAGTTCCACACTGTGTTGTTCCACGCTGTGTTACACAGTATGGGACGGTGTTCACACATGGAGTTTCACCCAAGTTACACAGTATGTAAGAGCGTTTTCACATAAAGTCTCACAGTATGTAACCCACAGTGTGGACTAGTAATTCAAAGCCGACGATTGCACTGTTCATTTGCATCTACTTTTGTAATGATGCAAACCCCCCGCAATGCGTCACAGACCGCGCCAATTACCGCTGGCGCAAACCTGCAAACCTGCGACACTTTATTCTTCATCATCCAGATGTCGATTTCGGAATAGAGAGCACGGAAGGAAGGTCACAATCGCCGTCAGAAGAGCTCCCAGGACATTTAACACTCCCAAGGCGATAAAGGCGATGACGTAAGTGTGGCTGATGTCGTACAGCCATCCTATGAGTAAAAATGAACAAAGGGAGAGTTCCTTAAAGGTAATACAAAGTTTTGGGAAATTTTGAAATTAGGTGGAGAGTGATTCTTTACCATTTTGATATATTTGGATGCCCCTGTGGATGTATTATAAGCACTAGAAAAATAAGCCCCTAAAACACTTCTGCTTTCAAGAAAAATTGAATATAAAAATTTACCGGTGCTCCCGGTAAATTTTGATAAATTGCAAATAGCGCCTATACGGCCGTACAATGTTAGCTGCGACCATGAAAATCTCAGAATACGTAGTTGTGATATATAATTTCCAAACGGGAAGAGCTAATCGGTCGATTTTAGTCAAGAAACATTGTTTCATAACTTAATTAATATCTTGACCTTGAGAGGGAGCTATACAACATAAAAAGTTTATTATTTACAATTTCAAACTTTAGACTCGTTTTCAACCGCAACAACGATCACTTAATATTGTAGAATCGCATTTGCTTCCATTATGTTCATTTGAATCAAATTCATGACCCCATACCAAGACTTTGTATTACCTTTAACATAAAGAAAATACATTTCGAAACATACGGGGCAGTAAGTTTTTCACAAGACACTTTGAATTACAACATGTTTCAATAAACTCCGGCCTCAATTTGGTAGATTTGCACAGTCAGATTTACGCCATCAGCGTGGAATACGAAACCTCTCATCCTGCACAGTTTACACATGCAGCTGTCGACAAAATATATAATCTGAACAGACTCTACATGTATTTTGAACTTTACCACTATTCCTAAGGCTTTGAGTAGAGCCTAGCTCTGTCCCACTGTGTCAGGAGCAACTACAGAGCCTTTTCAGTATGCTGTCATCCTAGTCTCACAGTACAGACACTGTTTGATAAGCACAGTGATTGGGCTTGCATGTGTCTGCTAACTAAAAAGTATTCACGTTAAAAAAATTGATTATGTTACTTGAATATTTCAAAACAGACCTATTATTTTTTCCAGCATATTAAAGTAGATGCATTCACTGTTTGACCTCAGGGAAACAGTTTATTTAAAATACCTGAATATAATGAAAACGCAATTATAAAAAGATTTATCTAGAGACGGGGCTCTTGATAGCATTGGACCCGATCATGATTATATTTCCAAAAGGGCCATATTTCAGTTTGTAAAATGTTAGGCAGTGTGCCGTTATATTGTGTAATTTTAGCACAAGGCTGATTCTTCACCAGCAGGACTCACCTGCGAATAAACCTCCGACGATTTCACCAAGTCCTAGAAAGAAATAAGCCAGAGCAACCCCTGAGGTGAATCTCGACTCGTCAACGATCTCCTCAATCATCAGGGAAATAAGAACAGTCATAGCCCCGATGGTTGATCCGTTTAACGCCGACAGGATGGACAGACCCCAGAACGTGGTCGTGACGTAGTCCAGACAGAAGGCTGCACCGCAGATGAGATTGCAGACGATGAACATGGTCCTCGCAGTGGTCCACTTACCGAGCATGTAGCCGATGCAAAATCGACCAATGAAGTTCCCAAGACCTTTATCGAAATTTAAATTTCAAGTTACATCGTAATGGATATAGAAACAAAACTGGAGATGTAAGTGTGCTACTCGAGCATGCTTATGTCTAATGTATTTCCTAAAATAAACATACGAGGCGAGGCAGGGGGATGCAATCCCTTTCGAGAAATTTAGACAATAAACACAAACTAAGAATATACTAATATTTGGGAACAAGGGCAGAATAGTCCAACATGCATGCATTAGATCCCATCCCAAGTTGCGTCCATAAAAAAGGAAAGAATACAAAAGTGGAAGCTTTACCTCCTACTGAAGCAAGCAATACGGCTTTATCCATATTGTATCCCTTCTCCTGAGCGTTCGGCAACAAAAAAGCCACCCAGCCTGTGGTGGTCGCCCCAGACAACAGTCCAGCAATCATTATTGGGTTTAAGGCAGGAAAATCATATAGCAGTCTCAAATCAAACAGTTCGATCAATCTCCTCATGCAACCACTGTCCTCCGTTGTCGCTTCGGACTCCTCTTCGACAGACCCGCTCGTAAAATTGCCAGGTGCCCTCGACTGCCCCTTAGGAATCAGCCGATTCTTTTCAGATATTTCATCATCACACTCACTTAAACCCAAGCTCTGTTCGCAATTCTGTCTTACGGTCATCCTTTTCTTGGAATCGAGACCGAAGTTCGCTCCCGACTGTGTTTCTTTGTTTTCTGAACATCCCTGTTCGGGTGCATTTACAGGAGAATATTGGCCTCTGCATGTAGTCTTCTCATCACTCCTGAAGCTGTTTGAATTCTCTACTGTCCTTCTTTCTCTGGCACTATCAGCAGTACCATCGTGTTTTGTAGAGTAGGAATGTTTGTGCCGAGTTGATGTAAGTGGTCTAAAGAGGGCTCCTGCCAGGACGTTATGGAAGTTCATGGCTGCAATGAGCAGAAGCGAGCCTCGCCATCCGTAGATGTTTGCAAGTTTCTCCGTTATGACAGGTATCAGCATCATCCCGACGGCACCGGTGGATAAACTGAAGCTTATGGCGATTGGGAAAGAGTCTGGAAAGTAGGTCTTGACGATGACGACGTTTGAGATGATCATAAAACTGTAACCGAATCCTGTGATGTAGTGGGATGGAAGAAGGGCGAGAGAGAAAGAGGTTTAGAGAGAGAGAGAGAGAGAAAGAGAGAGTTATGCAGAAACACAAAGATAGTATGAAAAAATGTGAAAGAGATAAAGAAGAAAAAAGAGGACGGACGAATGAAATTAAACATATAACGAAAATACGAACTAAAGAACTTTGTTAAATTTTGTGTCACAGATCTATGTCACTTGCTCCTTAAAAAAAAAATTCTGACATAAAGGAATTGAACGAATGAGTTTTGGCATTTTGTTATTTTGTGACGAACATATTTAATGCACACGAGAAAGATTCATTTATAATCAAATCTTGAAGATACTATTGAGTACGGCTAAAGCAATTCTATTGACAGTGAATGAAATTGTTTAAGAGCGGGTGATAATATTACAAATCATACAAATTATTGAATATTGCTGTCTATCACAAATCATGCAAGAGCACTGGATACAAAAACGGGTACACGAGAATAAATAATTACGCGCAATCAGAATTTATTCTAAAGTTAAAGATAAACTTGAGTTCTGGTAAAAAAAGAAAATGAATTCTCACAGAATATTACGAAACTTACACTGAATGTTCAAGATTACAAATAAATGTCATGTGCCGAACAATTTTGGAAGAAAATGTATACTGGCTGAGTAATGAGCATAGAAAGATAAGGAAATCAGGGTAGTACTAGCCCCGACACCATGTGTGTTGTCCCATCCCTGTGTCCCATATACATCTATCTGTGTAAGTGATTGTTACTTTACCAAGACTCTGTCAAATTTATGATGATTTTGATGACTCCAGAACCTTGCATTACACACCATTACTCACCATTACTTACGTGCTATATGATTAACTTTTCTGATCCATTCCACACCTTTTCTTTCACAATGCAATCGCATTACCAGTACTCAAGTTTATCTTTGATAATAATAATAATGTCTTTTTTTGCAAGATATCTATCTAGATTTGCCTGACTGCAATCAGGTAAATGGGTACCCGGCAGGAAGAAATTGTTTGAATGCTTGAGCGAATTTTTATGGTAGCTCGGCTAAGGTCGCCGGGGGGGGGGGGGGGGGGGGGGGGGGTAATGATGTGATTTAAGGGCCCTCAGAGAGAATTAAACGGTATTAATACTGATGAGGCTATACTCTCGGTAAACCAGAAATATCATGATCATTATTATTATGCGTCGCAGATAAAAGAACATTTCTAATTGGACTATCTAAAGGAATTTGTTCGAAGTCTGTAGGATCTAGGATAGTTGAGATACGAAGGAAGAGAGAAAGGCCTTAAAACGGACCAGAAACGGACAAATTGGCGCCTGGAGGAAAACGATCGAAGAGTCAGGTGACCTTCCTTCCTATGAACTACAACATACCTGCCACCGCTATCCCACTGGTGAATAGAGCAGCATTGCCACTGATCGAGCAGATACAGAAGCCGAAACCAGACACACATCCACCGATCATCGTTAGTACTCTACACGTCGTCTTTTTCAGGAGAGGGCGTGTCAAGAATGCTGTAAAACATAAGAAGAAATAACTTGTACTTCAGTGGTGGGTGTAGAGGGGGGGGGGGGGCACTGTCAGTGCCTTAAAAGGACGTCACACGTAGCAGTCCACTATGTCGACGTGCAAAAATCTAAAAGTCCCTAACGTTGAAAAACGGCGGAATAAAGGTAAAGAAGGGGCTAGATAATGAGCATTGGCACAAATTCGAAGTGCTCTTTTTTTGAAGTATGAAGCCTATATTACATTGCAATACATAATATGAGGTAGGATAAAAAGTATTGTACATGGTAAAAAGTAGTTTAGGTGGTAACATATTATTACTTATACCGCGCTTTTCCCATAAGGCCCAAAGCGCTTACAGTGAATGAAAATAAAAATTACATAAATACATATATTTAGACAAAACACTCTTACAACTACAAACTGCAAACTAGACGTTAACGAATTAGGTGATACGTATGCTCATGTGTAACATAATGAAGAACGTATTTTCATGATTTCATCTTTCGTTTTCTACTTCCATTATGGTATATCCATGAGTCAAGTTTCAACTGTGTAGGGCAGAGGGAGATAGAGCAAGATAATAAGAGGGAGGCAAGGCAAGAGAGAGAGAGAGAGAGAGAGAGAGCGAGAGAGACGGAGAGGGTGAAAGAGTAGAGAGAAAGAGATAGATAGATGCAGAGATAGACCAAAAAAGGAGAGGGGCAGAACATGAGAGGAGAAGGAAAAAACAGCAAAAGAGAGAGGAGAGAGAGAGAGAGAGATGCAATTGAGAACAATGCCTTCCATATTTCTAGCATAAATAAGCTCTTGTGAATACTGATCATGACAGTGTTGCCGATATTAAAAAAAAACATGATTATGTTCATGAATACAATGATGACGATATTAGAATGATGACCATGATTGAAAGTGGAACAGCGCCCCTTCAGGTTTTCGATAAAGGATTAAACTGTTTATTAAACTAAACAAGCTCAAAACACTTTTTAAAATAATTATTACAAAATGTACATAGTGATTTATTCAGTCATGATTTGATATAAAATATGAATGAGATATTAATATTGTATCCATCCATAACCCAACATCTATGATGTTAAATCTAGAAACGATTGTTAGTATGCATGGCAGTGAATGGCCAAACGATAGAAATTGCGTCGAATTCCTTGGATTAAATTGTTATACATATAAATGAGACAAGCTGAGATGATGCAGGGTGAAAGGGGAGAGAGGAGAGAAAGAGAGAGAGGCAGTGACAGAAGGAGACAGATCAAGAGAAGAAGAGGGGAAGGGAAACAGTGAGAGGGAGAGGGTGAAAGTGTAAGAGAGAAGGAGAGGACAAGAGAGATGCAGATGAGAGAGACCAAGAGAAGGAGAGGGGCAGAACAAGACTAGGTGAAGGGAGACAGAGCAAGAGAGAAAAGAGAGAGAGAGGGGAGAGATGCAATTTAGAAAAATGCCTTCAATATTTCTAGCATAAATAGCTAGGCTCTTAAATTACGATCATGACAGTGTGCCGAAACTGCCGATGATGATATAATGATAATGTTTATGCATACGATAATGACGATATTGATGATGATGAAGATGCCATGATTCAAAGTGGTATAGCGCCCCCTTCAGGTATTCGATTTAGGATTGTTATATATGATAACTGACATGTCACCTATGATTGAATTTTTTACTATGATAACGTAGTGATAATGTTAAATAGTCTACATAGATCTTGTGGAAACTTGTCTCAGCTACAACATACTCAAACATCAACAAAATCCAAGGAGAAATAACGGCGATATCGCTCAAAAAGACAGAAATGTAGAATCCAGATTTGAGAAAAATTCATCTCCCATAGGGATTACACCCAAAAAGTAATAGATTAAGTGTAAATAGGGTAATAATAAAGTAAATAGGGTTGTTTATTACATTATTTGCGACTCTACGTGTTTTAATAATTAAAGGAGATGGTACATTGAAAGGTCAAAAACAAAAAAAAAAGGAAAGAAAAAAAATCGTTGGAGACGCCCGGACTCGAACCAGGGATCTCAAGGTCGGAAGTCAAGTGCGTTACCGATATACCAAAACATTTAACGGCGATATCGCTCAAAAAGACAGAAATGTACAATCCAGATTTGAGAAAAAAATCATCTCCCATAGGGATTACACCCAAAAAGTAATGGATTAAGTGTAAATAGGGTAACAATAAAGTAAATAGGGTTGTTTATTACATTATTTGCCATTCTACGTGTTTGAATAATCAAAGGAGATGGTACAGTGAAAGGTCAACAAGAAAAAAAAAAGTTAAGAATTTTTTGGGGGGGGAAATACCCGGACTCGAACCCGGGATCTCAAGGTCGGAAGTCAATTGCGTTACCGATATACCAAAACATTTCCCATAGCGATTACACGTAAACGGAAAATGGAATTCTAAAATCCCACTTTGCAAGTAAAATATGAGCATGATCCCGGCATATGATCGAAAAATAAAGTGCACATTGGAGATAGCTCATTGTCTCAGCTACAACATACTCGAAGCTCAGCAAAAACAAAGCTAAAACAACGGACATGCCTCCTTTAATTTCAAAAATACGACATGATACCTTTGTCAAACTGGAAAATTGTACACTGCATTTGTAAAAAATTATCTCAGCTAGAACATATCAAAATTTGAAAGAAAAACAATCAATATTTACAGAGAACCAATCAATTTTCTAAAAATATGCAAACGTCATAATATGCAAATTTAAATTTTGAGTTCGGAGGCCGTTATGATGACAGTCGAGTGAGGGCTCTTCAGTCTAGTTAAAGGGTCACGTGATGATTTATGTTGGCTTATGTCGTCTGACCCTTTATCATAACTGATGTCGCGTGTAGCAGTGGGTCGAGGAGTTATCGATGTCGAACACGACAATGATGAGGATGGCGATGGTGGTGGCTTTGGTTGAAGACGTGGTGATTTTCCGTCATTTCTAATACAACTGTTCTGGTGCCGTCCAGGAGTAAAACTGATTTGGTCTGTCGTTCGGTCATGTGTATTTGTTGTAGCGACGGATGGTGGAGAAGCATTAGAATTACTAAGCTGTCTTCTTTCCCGCTCCATCCACTTATTTCCCTGTCGTCTGCCCTTTTGAGGTGGCTGCACAAAGACTCGATGAGCCCAGCTCCCCGGGCTAACACCCCTCTCCATTCCACCAAACAGAACTTCAGATTTCAAAAGAATCATCCAAGATTAACAATCCTCAAGAATCTCCATGAATATCAATATACTCCACAGTTTGGGATACATTTCTAAGGATTCTTAAATCTATGAAAACAGTAAGTTCTTCATTCCCGTTAGGTATGCGTTGACATGGAGACTGGAGGGCTTGGTAAACACTAAACAATCTTCAGCCACCAGCGAAGTAGGTTTATCAAACACTTGCTAGTCTTCCTAGGACAAAAGAGTCGGCAGGTAAATCGTGGAAACATAAAAGAACTCACCAGCCCCGAATCTCAGCCCGCTGCATCAGTAAATAATTTATAATAATAAATAAATAATAAATTATCCTTTGCCGAGGTTGAATGTTTGTAGGAAGCCACAGAAATACTGTTTAATAGCCCGTCGTTCTTCTCCCTTCAGTCATCCTTCAATGAACACAAATCAATTAAAATAGATGAAGGAAACAATCGAGTATTCACTTTCATCAGTTATCCACATAAATTCATACACACAGTCATATTTATGCTCACGTTATGTCGTCTGTCAGTAGAAATTATGAACGCGACTTATATAATCTCACTGAAGTGACGACGCAATTGTACTTTGGCCTTAGACACACTCTCCGTGCAACATCGAGAGAATAGAAATAAAACCCTTGAGCACTCAGCCCCATCAAAGATTTCATTTCTATTCACAATCAGATGGTGAATGCAGAAATAAGTCTGTTTACGTCACTTTCCAATTCAGATTTTGTTGCATAAATGGTAAAATGGTACGTGTTTAGTGTTTGATTGGTCATACGACTTGTTTCAAAGACCATGAATAAAAAATGCGATCTGTGCACGTGTGATGACGGCTATGACTACTGTATGTACTATTATTACAACAACAACAACAACCACCACGAACACATCTACTACTACTACTACTACAACTACTACTACTACTACTTCTACTACTACTTTTTCTTCTTCTCCTTTCTCTTCTTTTTCTTTTTCTTCTTCTACCATTCTCCTTTTCCCGCTTTGTTTCTTCCTCTTCTTCATCCAACATAACCAAAAAAGAAAGAAAGATAGAAAGATAGAAGAAGAAGAAGGAATAAGAAGAAACAGACGCTTTACATTTCATCGATCGCTACTATACTTTCATCATTTTCTACCGTCAATACACTTATTTGCCTACATGTCTATCCATGATATAAAGTCGTAATCATTGCCCCCTTTTTAGTAGTTACAAGTCGTCATGAGTCTCCTTCGTGTGAATGTGTCTCCCCTAATGAAATTGGAATACTCTATACGAAATGGCGTACGATTTGGGTGTCGATCATCTACGACACTTCGACTAATCTTTTTCCCTGTAGCAAACTACTTTTTATTTACAACAGTGTGTGGGAAAGAAGAGCAAATATTCCATCTTAAAGTGTTGGCTTTTCTCCTAAATCCGTTTAAACACCTATGGGCTCGCTTTTCAAGACTTGAAACATGCAACAATAACCTGTCATTTATCACTCACAATAAGATTCTTTTGCGCTACGCAGGATTGTGGATGATGGTTTACCCTATACAAATTACCATAAACTAATGAAATTAACTTAGAAACACATGCGAGGTGCAGTATATAATATTTAGTAGAAGATAAATTGCCCTCGTTACTTCATACCGTCCAAAAATGCGGTATTGCTGATTATTCATTTTGGTTGTTATGTATTTTGCTTCAATAAACCCCAAAATGCTTTGATTAATTATCTGAATATAGGGCGTACGTTTCTGTTCTTTTACATTGACACTTATTCTTGTTTTTGTATGTGGATTT